CCATCGGGGTGCCAACTTGTCGTTATGCTTGTAAAGTGATCCTAACGCGAGCACCCCAAATCCCCCCCTCCGCAGCGTTGCTGATCAGCGCGGCTGGGACGCGACAACACGAATTGCAAACGTGCGCAAAACGAATACGCTCGAGCAAAGGCCGTGTCCTCTCGGGTAAAGAAAGCGGCGATGTGAACAGAAATGAAACGAGCGGTTTGCACCAGACCTGGCACATGTCTGCAAGCCAGACGAGCAGAACATGCAGCCAAAGAGAGATGAGGGAACGATAGCGATGGAGGAGAAAAGGAAGGCAGCACCCTCAACGGGGGATGCGGGCGCATCGCACTCAGCCAACTGGGAAAGATCGTCCATTCTGCGGAGAGAGACGTTGGCCTGGCGCGCGCTCGCACACCCCAGGGGTATCCGAGATGGGGGGCCCGAGAGGGCGGGGCGCAAACTACAGCCCGAGGCACGAGAGCGGCCCAGGGGGGGGCCAAATATCTGTTCTGTCTGGGCGACACAACCCGAAGGGAGGTGCCCAAGATGCCTGCATGAATTTGCATGCAGTCGGACCTCGCAACATGAACGGCGGCACAGACCCGCCCCAGGCTTCACATCTGCGCCGTCGTTGCGCGGTGCCTCGAGATGCCATCCGGAGACACGGCCACCGGCACCACCCCCACTTGGCCGCCTAAAAACATATTGAAACGGATCAGTCCGCCCGAAATCCGGATCCCCTCCCCCCATCCCCCATCCCCCCTTCGAGCGGGTTCCAAGGGGGGCTCGCAGGTCCTGGCCCAAGGCACGTGCGGACGAGTGGGGGGGGCTTGAGTGGAAGTCTTGAGGGAAGACGAGGGGGGCATACACCCAGAGGAGACGTCTTGGCCCTGGACATTGGTGTCCACCCACCCCTCGTCATCGCCCCCCTCCTGGCCGCCCCCGAACATCGCGACGTCCCCGCGAGAGGCCCGCTGCTAGAGAAAACGTCCCGGCGACGTGGGGGAGGGCTTTGGACATGATGGGCCGACTTTCCACCTCCACTGCCACAGGTAGGAGAGGCAGGAGGAGGCGGAGGAGGAGGAGGAACTCCCCATCCCTTCTCCCCGTCATACCTACACGTCGTTCATTTCTAATCATGCTCATTTCTAATTGTGCTCGTTTCTAATTATTCCTGGTCCCCTAGTGGCCAGGAAGAGGCCCAGGATAAAACACTTAGAAATGAAAGGATCTTGGCCCCGCAAAAATCAAAGGACTTTCGAAGAACTAGGAATGAGCAATGTGTATGGTAGTGGTGGTGGGAAATCGGCCCATCAGAAGAGGCACGACATGGGGCAATGCCAAAGGGAGCCGCCACCAGGGGGGCCGTCACTTCCTCGAGGAACCGCCACTTGCTCCAGGAAGTGGGCCCCCAAGAACACGCCATAGCCTTGGGTCGGGCCTGTCCCCCTACAAGGGGATTTTGGGGGAACATGCAAAAATACAAAAAAACAATCCAACCATACTAAAAAATAGTGAACAAATCGTCCTCATATCATTTTTGAACGCTTTTTGAATTTCCCTCCTGTAGAGGGACAGGCCCGACTTACTCATAGCCTTCCAAAGCGACCCCGAACCTGCAAAAACCTCTAGCTTCGATCCCGGAGCCTCGCTTTCCAAGAGGAACTGGTGACCTTTCCAGTGGCGACCCCCCATGGCACTGCCCGACGACATGACGACGAGAAGGAGCCGCGCACAGCCCGGGAATGCAGCGCTGCCAAGAAGCCGGCGTGCAGGCGCGTGGGGGACAGCAACGAGGGACGTGACGAGGAGGAGAAGCCGCCGAACCCGAGCAGAAGCTCCACCTCATACGATCGCGCGGCCAACGGGGGGGAACAGATGAATACCGATACCGCTACTCCCCAGACCTCCCCCGAAACTCGAACTGACCAGAGTTCCCCAGACAATCCGGCCGCAGGGATGATGGCCGTCCAGGACGAGCAGCGGGGTAGTGGCATCTTTTCCTCTCGTGAAAGTAAAACAAGGCTAGGATCGGGATAAATCGCTCCAGAGCGTTCCGGAGCGCTCTCAGAGCGTTCCGGAACGCTCTGGAGCGGCCGCGGCGCCCAATACATCCTCCGAACCCGCCGATTCTCAGAGATTTCGAGTTGCCCCGATCCGATTTTGTCCCGATCTTCGAGTCGTTTTAGAAAGGGGTGGAGGGCAAGGAGGCAAGAGCAAGGCAAGGGATGCAGCGGCGCGGGGCGCGAGGGCCGGACGACACCGGCGACACTGGGAGCGCGAGCGGATGGCGAGGGGCGTGCTCCCGGGCGCCGCGCTGCTCGAGGCCCGGCCGGCTCCAGAGGCGCGAGGACCAGAGCCAGCGAAAGCAGCCCCCTCCTCCTCCTCCTCCTCCTGCTCCTCCTCATCCTCCTCATCTTCCTCCTTTTCCTCCTCCCCCCCTCCCCCCCCCTCCTCCTCCTCCTCCTCCTCCTGCTCCTCCTCATCCTCCGCATCCTCCTCCCTTCTCCTCCTCCCCCCCTCCCCCCCCCTCCTCCTCCTCCTCCCTCCTCCTCCTCCTCTCCTCCTCCTTCTTCCCCTCCTCCTCCTCCTCCTCCTCCCCTCCTCCTCCTCCTCCTCCTCCTCCTCTTCCTTTCCCTCCTCAGCCTCAACACGCGGGCCTCGACTGACACAGTGGGGGAAGGAGCAGTGGAAGAGGAGGGCGGCCGTGGACAAATGGAGAGGGGGGGGAGCTGCGTTCAGAGCTTGCAGCACCTCACGCATGGTGGTGGCAGCCTCAGGCTCAAGCCTCCCCCCCCCCCCCGCACACATACACGGCTCCCCAAATCGGGCCGAAAACATACGGGAGGCACAAACAAACACACCGCACAAAACGGAAGATGGGGAAGGCGACAAAAAAACGGCGGGAGGATTCAAGGCGCAGAAAATGAAGTCCCCTCGCGTCTGGATGACACTTACACCCGAAACATCCCTCCTGCTCTACACTTGTTTCTCGTCTCGCTTCTCTCCTCACCAAATTCCTTCCGCATCTCCTCCTCGCACGGATATTGCAGGGCACCAGAGGCTCTGCAACGACACGGAAGACGTCGTCGGTGGAAACGTCTTCGTGGAAGACACGATCGAACTCGAAGCGATGGGACTCGAGGCACTTTGTGATACCGTCCACCTTGAATTTCCTGTGGCAGGGGAAAGGAGGAGGGCGGGTGAGGAAAGAGGAGGAGCTATACAGAGACGGGGGATGAGGAGGATGAAGGGGGAGAGGGGAACAGGGGAGGGAGGCAATGTACAGAATAGGCATGCTGCGATCCCGTCTGATGTGGCAAGAAGAGCGAGCAATTTTGACGAGCGCCCTGGCACCGTAGCGCTGATGCATATGATGGGGACTCGTATCTGTGAAAATGTGCGAAACTCCACTGCGCCTCAGAAGGGTTGTCTCCCAATTTCGCGACGAATACACAAACGCACAAATGTGCACAGCACGCCTTTTTAAACAATTATCCCAGTGCGACCCTACCTAGGAGTTGGAGCCCATAGGAAACCAGCATTAGTAATAGCAGTAAAGCTGAGCTAAAGCTAAGCGAAAGCTAAGCTAAAACTAAGCTAAAACTACGCTAGAACTAAGCTAAAGCTAAGCTACAGCTAGCGCCAAGCTGAAGCTAAGCTAACGCTAAGCGACAGCTAAACTAAAGCTAAGTTGAAGCTGAGCTAAAGCTAAGCTGGAGCTAAGCTAAAATTAAGGTAAAGCTAAAGCTAAGGTGCAGCTAAGCTAAAGCTAAGATAAAACTAAGCTAAAGCTAAGCTAAAGCTAAGATAAAGCTACGCTAAAGCTAAGCTGCAGCTAAGCTACAGCTAAGCTGCAGCGAAGCTAAAGCTAAGCTAAAGCTAAGCTAAAGCTAAGCTAATAAGCTAAAGCTAAGTAAAAGCTAAGTCCAAGCTAAGCTAAAGCTCAGCTAAAGTTCAGCTGAAGCTAGGCTAAAGCTAAAAAGCTATAGCTAAAGCTAAAGCTAAAGCTAAAGCTTCCAACGGACTGGGGGAACCGCGGGGCGGATGCCAGGGGAACCGCCCGGGGCGAGGAATACTGCCCAGCCCTTTAAGCTCATAAAGTAAGAACCCTTCTAGGCAGAGCCTAGGTAGGGAATACAACTGAGCTAAGACGAAGCTAAGCTAAGTTAACATGAAATAAGCTAAGCTAAGATGAGATAAGCGACGCGAAGCTAACGGGACGTCACTGGGGGAAGCGCGGGGCGGATCCTGGGGGAACCACCCGGGGCGTTCTCCACTGCCCGGCCCCTTTAAGCTAATAAAGTAAGAGCCCTTCTAGGCAGAGCCTAGGTAGGGGACAAAAACCACGCTGTTCAACGCGCAAAAAACATGGGTCGCCCCGCGATGGGAAAGGGCCCAATGGCAACATAAGCGGTCGCGCCCAGCACCAGGCGGTGCGCCCAATAAAACGTCACCAAGACCTGAAGAGGAGGGCCGAAGAGACGGGGAGGGGACGACCTTAGACCTCAACGCCATTGGGGGCGACCGACGACCCACGCAACTGCCAGCTGCGCAACATCAGACAAGGCAGAATTAATCAGACTCCCCCAGCTGAACTGACGGAGCTGCTGGAACACGCTCCTGCGCAGCTGCCAGGAGAGCTAGCGCTGTAAGAGCCCAGACCCTTGAAGCAGGAGGCAGCGCGGCTGAGGCGAGCAGCATGCCTCGATGAGGCACGCGGCCTCTGGCTGCGTGCCGCATTGAGGCCTGATGCCAGACCTTGGCGCCCCCTACGCTCCCATCGAGGCTCGCGACGGTGCTCGACTAGGGGTCCTCGACTCGCGCCCCTAGCTATCACACTGCTGCACCCCTTCCCCCTACCTTGGCACCAGCGCAGCCCTGGGAACTGGGGGGGGGGTCGCCAGAAAGATTTGAATTAGACCGGCCGGAAAACATTCGCGAAGTTAAATCCCTACCCTGCACTTCAAGCACACCTCAGCCGTGGAGCTCCCTGAACCTCGCACTCATCATCAAGGCCGCTTCTTCCGACGATCGCAGAACGTCTGCACCTTGCGCTCCTGGGGCCCCCTCGGCGCCCCTCCCATCATTGCTTGCCACCTTCCTCCACCAGGTGCTTCTCGAAGGTTTAGAACGTCGGCGCCGCCAGAGAGCTCTACCATGAGCTGCACTTTTACTACCTCTGGCTTGCCCTCGATCTTTTTCGCTCGCTTGACGTTCATCACTTTGACATGCTCTGCCGCGGTCGAGCCCCCCTTCTCCATGGACATTTGCTTTTCCCAGAATTCCATGAGAATCTTGAAATGTGGGCCCCTTTTCTGGCCCTCCCCGATGTTCGAAATCATGACTATGAAAGGCCACCCCGAAGAGCACGAGGCGATGTGGCCTTTGAGGGCTTAGCAGGGGGTCTTCTGAACGACCCAGATCCACCTTGCCCTCCCTGGCCCATGCCTGAGCCTCTGCGCTGCACTGCTGGCCCGACTCTAGCAACGGCTGAACGACGTCGACCTCCAGCGGCACCAAAACTGAAACGAACAACGCACCCAGAAGCATGCGCCGGTCCGCCGGATTCGCCGACTCGAGCTGGCCCACCGCCTCGATGGGACTCTGTGAGTCATGACGACGCTGGCCTCCGCGCTGAGGTTGGCGCCCGCTTCCGATGTCACCTCGATATCCTCCTCCCGCCGCCGCCTGAGACACCGTGGCCGCCCTCTTGTGCGCGGGTTCCTCCGACGCCGCCGCCGCCCTTTTGCCCGCCCATGCGGGCGTCGCCATCGTTTCTGGCACGAGTGACGAACTCACGAGCTCCGCTGTCCCAAACAACCAGCTTGCGACGGAGATGTTGTCGGACATGCGAGAGAGGCCCGAGCTCCAAACCCTCGCCGAAGGCGCCCATCTGGAAATGGAATGAAGCACCCCCGGCGCCGACAATGCATATGATGCCCCCCTTAGACAAGACCCAAGGCCCATGGGCCCAGATAGATGCCTGACCGCCAATGTCCAGCTAGCGAATACCTCAAAGCAGTTGGGGCGCAGGTTAAAGATAACCGCTCGAGAGGACAAGCGCCCCACGCTGCGCCCGCGCCGAACGCGCCCAGGAAGACCCCGACGAGACGGAGGCAACTGCCCGCAAATGCTATCCCCACGAGACAATGAACATATATACGTAAATTCATCAACTCGTTGAACCTGAGGACCCCCCCCCCCAGGGGCCCCAGAAGCCTGAAGCACAGGGGGGGCAATACTAACCGACGGGAAGACCTTCCCACGGATATTGAGGCCCAGGGAGACGAAACCTGCAGCGGCATTGCGACCCTGGGAAAAAAACGCGTGGACACTCGAACGGCGTCAATAATCTGACCTCATTCGTAAGCTCTGCAGAGGCCCACGCAGTCGCTCTAGGCCTGAACGGCCCGCGGGATCGCATGTCTGGCAACTCTACCCAAACCTCGATCCACAGCGTCATGCTGCCCAAAGGAAGGGCGATCACATGATGCGGTAACTTCCCGCGCAAGGCCCCGCGGGCGCCCGGCGCACTGCTGCAGCCCGCCCGCGCGAATAACCTGGCGCTCCAGGCGCGTGGGCACGAGCTTCCAAGGCCCCAAAGCCTCATCACTTGACATAGATTTAGCACGGCTGCCTGCGATGTCAGAAGCCCCCCCCCCCCACTCATGAGCACCCGATCATATCCGACCAGTGCCGGATCCAGCCGGCGAAAGTCTCAATCCGAGACAAGAAAAGCCCCAAGGTTCGAGCGATCGGCGTTCGCTCACCGAGCGAGGAAGGCACGCTTCTCCATCGCCAAAGAACTCCGTGCTCTTCCAAAACCTACCAGCCCGATGGAACTCTCCGGATTGCCCCAAGACGCTTCGTGAGTTCAGCCGCCGACGAACCTCGGAAATGAACCTGCCCCCCTAGCATTTCTGTGGCCCCGTAGAAAATCCCCCCCACGGGGGGCCCTGGCTTCTCTAGCACCCTGCGCCCAACCCCAAACCCAACGCCAGCCGGAGAAAACACATTGTTATGCTTCGATGCGATTGCCTTGCGCCCGCGGCTAGAAATACGTCGAAATCGCAAACTGCTCGAACGCATAGTTTTACGACGAAGATCGAACACACCACCGTCAATACATCATGTTCAACTTGACGTTGGCCTTCCCGCGGGACGTAGAACACGCCGTCTTTTACCCAGAGAGTTTCGATTAACGGCTTCTCCGTGTCTTCGGCATACTTGATTAAGGACGGACCCGTACTAACATCATGCAGACAGGGACGCACGGTGACCAAGGCTTCGGCCATCGGGCCAAGATCTGCACGCAGCCCCTGCCACTCGCCAGTGGCAGGCCGAAGAGCTCGGCAGAAAGAGTGCGCTGCGTAAAGAAACCCATCAAATCACCCACCCTCGTCCTCACCGCCGCACGCTATTTGGACACGCTGCGTTCTAAAGACTCGGTCCCGGGGGCCCAAGAGCCCCGAGGCGGCGTCATCTAAGAAAACCCAGGGGACAAAAGCAAAAACGCAGGCCATGCCCTTACCCTAAAAGTCAACATGGCAGCCCACGCGCCCGTAATCAATGCGCGCTGCGCTGCTGGCCTAGCATCGCCCCCTCCGTGCTCCTCCCCGTGCAGAACCCATGCCCACAGTCTTCGGGGATAGTATCAAGGCCGCGCTTAATGACTGGCGCGGAAAAAGAAGCATTGCCGGGCACATCTAATACATGAATAACTAGCTTGCTGGCGGTGCCTTCGGCAACTACTTTCGAAGGGCAGCACCCCTGACTTCTGTGCCATCCCATAAGGGGCCCTACCCGACGCGCAGATCTTGCCAAACCCACGCTGCAGCAGCGTCTGAAAGCCCGCGGGACAAAACCATCATTTTCATATTGCCAACCCCAGCCGGCTTGACGAACTTACGGGCGATCACGAGGACGGCACAGCATCAACCATACTCTCACAGGTGCCGACTCCGATGGACACATCCTGCGCTCACGGGCCTTTTTTCAAGTATGTACCTCCCCCCCCCCTGATCATCTCCTCCGCCCGCTCCAAGTACTCACCCTGGTTCCCCTCGTGCACGCAACAGTTCCTCTTCCTCCTCCCCCAAGGCTCCTCCCAATCAATCTCGCTGACCTCCAATCATTCTTTCACGTCCTGGAAGACTTCATACCTGCAACCATTCTTCTCCAGTGACTCTCGACCCAGAAAAGGTGAATGTCGTTGCGATCTCTAGCCCCCCCGGAGCTGCCCACCGCTGGTCGAGACCATGCATTTACCTCGACAACCTTACGCTGTCGCAACGCATCCTGCAAGCGTTCAACTTTCAACTTGAACGCGTTTAGTCATGTGCGCAAGGTGGGCGACCTTTCGCCGCAGCATTGCAATATTCAGCTCTTCCTCCTCCTCCACCTGCTCTTCCTCCTCCTCCCCTGCCGCGTCTAATCCAAGCCTGGCCCCCTTGCTCTTTGCTCGTAGCTGCTTCCGTTGACGTCGCATCCCCAGCAAATCATGGGAATGCTGCACATGTTCACCGTGCGTCGCTAGCCCTCGGTGAACGATGCGCTCGTTCAGGGCTGGGAGGAAACCTGTGGGTAGCGACCTCCTGCAACAACCCCATCAGGTCCACCTTGTTCTTCCCTCGCACTTGTCAATGATAGCTCCCAGCATGTCCCTCCAACTCCTTGTTGTTTTTGTTATCTCTCTCCCTTTGTTATATCGGTTTCCTCTCTCTCTGTGCACCAGACCTTTCATAACACATATTACGCTTTCATGTTGGAGCACCCTGTGGCCTACGGTCGTTGGAAAAAAAAACGAACTCCAATGCGACATGAACAGGCAAATTACCTCGAATGGCACGCCTTCGGGTGAACGGGACCTGTCGTCCCAGTCGGTGCAGATCTTCAGCGCAATAAACTCTAGAGGCCAACGTTGATGGAGCGAAACCATGTCCAACCTCTTGGCGTCACCCTCTGGACCGCTGGACCGTACCAAATGTCAACAATATGGGTACCACCCTCCAAATAATCAAATCCTGCAACCCAAAGTCGTGACGGGTGCCCAGCTCCGTCCTTCCACACCTTCCGAGTAGAAACCTCCACACGTAAAACCGATGCGCCCGAAAATTAAGAAGTACCAGCGAGCTCCTCCATCCCAGGCCATCGTTCAAATCGACCGCCAATATCGAAATCGATCTGCCTCTGATCCTCAGGCAAGCAGACCTGATCCAGCATGTAATCTTCTGCACTGTGGCGAAATACTGGGCACGAGCATGACGGTCACAGGAAATGGGCGGGAGGTAAGCACCAATCGCGGCCACGTCGAGACGACTAGCTTCCAACCTGGGACCGATCCCCCGCCCCTGAAGCTGTCAAGGAAGAAACAACGGTGGCGCCCGAAAAGATGTCCCCCCAAAAAGGTCCACTCAGCAAGAACACCATACCTGCAGCCTTGGCGGCAAACGGCGACGGAAGCCATCCTGACTGTACCAGTGCACTCTTGCCAATCCTCCTCCTCGTTACCTCGCCGTCGGGGCGTGGCCGCTGCTGCTGTGTGCTGGTGATCACCGCGATGTCGACACTGCGAAACCGGCTTTCAAGATCTTCCAGTCGATCAGTCGTAGATGCACAGAGGGGACTAGTTGCCAAAATCCGCAGCCAATGAAGACAGGTAGCAGTCTCCAACGTCGTCAGCTTCATGAAAGCTATGAAGGACCCTCTACAATCGAGTGTGTGAAAACATGCAACTTCATTGAGCAACCCTGCACGGTCATTGAGCCCAGACGGCAGTCCAGGGAGGGGGGACGTGGAGAAAGACGCGTCAGTGGACGCCAATCGGGGGTCACAAACATATCCACGAGGACGTGCCGCAGACTCGGACTCGGGCACTTTCAAAAAAGCGAGATTCATCTAGATCTCTGATGGAGGATGGTTGGCCCCGTACAACTCCATGGCCCCCTGGGCGTAGTCCTCCCTCGACTGCGAGGGGGAGGAGGAGGAGAACGAGGAGGAGGAGGAGGAGGACGAGGAGAACGAGGAGGAGGAGAACGAGGAGGAGGAGAACGAGGAGGAGAACGACGAGGAGGAGGAGACCGAGGAGGAGGAGGAGACCGAGGAGAATGAGGAGGAGAAGGAGGAGGAGGAGGAGGAGGAAAACGAGAAGGAGGAGGAGGAGGAGAAGGAGGAGGAGGAGGAGAAGCACGAGCGCGATGGGTGCCGTGCCGCCGCCCCCTCCGACGCCGCGAGGTGGAGCGCTGCGGGTGGCGCGCTGGGGGCCGACTTCCGGCACGGGCGTCGAACTGGGGCAGGGATCGGAGTGGGGCTGGGGGGGTCATCGGGCCGGGCGAAAGGGGGG